TGAATTGACATGCGAGAATGTGCATATAAACCCGTTACGATGCGCGTATTTTTTTAAATATTGCTTCGAACAAAAAAATAGTTACATCAATGAGAAGCTTGTGGCCAATTTATATAATGTAACTAAGAATATTTTTCATGTAGCTCGTCACGTTTGCATTTTATTTAATGGATATAATTCGGAGATAGTGGAGGGAGTAGTTGCTTCGTGTATAGATACACGGCAGCGATCGGCCTGATGTTTTGTACAATCGGAGTCAAAACTTTTCTTGGCCGATACGCTGCCACGTATCTCGATTCTCCCATTTTCAAAAAGTAAAATTCTGTACATGATACCCCTATGTAGCCTATGGACCCCTGACATTGCCTACGCCAATGGGATTTTCTCCCCACAACCGATCAGTGCTTGGCTCCCACTAGTCCAGGCGTCAGGCTATTTTTGATCCAAAAAATTCCTATAAAAGTTTTTTCTTTTTCTATGTCTTGTATTTATGTTAAGGAAGAGAAATGCAAAAATTCCCCCTCAAATTCGCCCCGGAAGTATTGTTTAAACAATTGGAATTTGCAATTTTAACGTTTTTATTGAATATCTCGATAAATATCCACTGTAGCGAAAAAACCTTGAATACAAACTTATTCCTTATAAAATTCTGAATGAAAAAAGTCTTTACATTTTTTTTCGTAGTGACGATATTATCGGAGATAATAGCGTGTGAAGGCGCGCGCCTCCCTCTCCGACTCGTGTGTTCCCCCAGCGCACCTGAACAGCTCGCTCACTGGTACTCCGCCATGCATGAATCATCTATAACCAATATTTAAATGATTTGAGACACGAAATCAGGTGGAATAATTGAAAATTTATTTATAAAAGTCTCCAGTACATACCACCATGCTTCATTGAATCATTCTTCTTCTGTTGGGGGCAGGTTGATCCGTCAATTGTAGTAGCACCGGTCTCTCACGTTCTCTGATTGCTTGAGTATCCACAGCCACAGTCTCTCTAACTTCTTCCTCCCCTTCACTATCTTCGTCCGATAATTGTACGTTCAAGAACTTTTCCAAATCAATGTCAATCGGTTCATCAACATCTTCGTCGATATCGATTTCAATTGGCTCAACATTGGAACAAGTTCGACCTTCACAATTAGAACAAATCACCGAACAATAAAGTCCATGCCTACGACAACCGCAATTATATATTTGCGATTTAATAGTCTTCAATCCCACTTGCAGTGAAGAAATGAAAGATCTTGGTCGGGCAGCTGTGATAATAGCATGCGCAATCGATGTGATTTTTCGATTCCATGGTGTTGGAGCCCCTTTCTTATGTTTGAGAATAATTGTCTCCAGAAAATTTTGCAAGCTTTCCGGTACGTCATTTTCTACATTTTTCAAAAATTCGTGTGGTGATGGATACTTATCTAGCTCATACACTTTTGACCTGATGTCCTCTAAGATGATGTTGGCTGCTTCAGAAACTACTTTCACACGTTCTTCTTCGATATTTTTACTTCTGCTGGTGTAAAAAGCCTCAGCAAGAATTTTATGGCCGATATTTCAAAAACAAATTATTGGTTCTTTCTTAACATTTGCAGTAATAATAATTTCATCTCCATATTTTTCCAATAACTTCTGTTTAATCGTTGCTTCACAAGGAGTTTCACCTCCATATTTCTGGATTAGTTCATTCAAAGAAAACTGACATTCATCTCGATTCTCTTCGAGGTATGCAGATATAAAGTCAAGTCTTTTGAGTGTTGGGATCTGCAGGACGGCCCGCGGATTTTTCGGATTTTACATGGATTTTGAATTTAGATAGACAGGACTTAGGTACATCCCCTCAGCTGCGACCAGATCAATCACATCAACAAGTCGCTGGATCACTTCTGCCCCCCATTCATCGTTTCTAGCTGCTGCAGTGGCATTAAGTTTTGTATTAAAATCATGTTAAATCACACGTTATTTTCACATCCATTTTTTTCGTAATAACTCGACTACACGTGATGATGGTTCGGTCGATACTATACAAAACTTGTTGAAACACGCTTCCCCTCCCCTCCCTTCCCATCCAAAAAGGCACGGAAAGGGACTGCAGGTAGAAAAACCGAACATCCGTCCGATCCTCCACGGGTTTACTGAGTATTCTCCGGTCACTGAGTTGCGCGCGCGCCTTCGCGCGCTTGTATTTCCAAAACTATCATCAAAATGCAACAAAATGTAAAAACCTTTTTTGTGTAAAATTTTATGAGAAATAATTTTGTACTTATTAATTTTTTCGCTGCAAACGATATTTACCGAGATATTCAAGAGAAACTCTAAAATCGCGACAGTAATTTGTGTAAACAATATTTCCGGGGCAAATTTGGGGGGGAATTTTCCACATTTCTGTTACTGAACACTAAAACAAGCGATAGAAACAATAAAACCATTAATAGGAATTATTTCATCAATATGGAAATTTTCTGTCTCCGACGCCTGGACTACACGGCTAGCCTATGAAGCCCGAAAGAATATTTTTTTTATAACAACCAATAGGAGGATGATTGCACATTATTTCTCAATAATTTATCACAGTCATTTTTTTCTCCATTTTGTCATTATTTTGCGAAGTCGATAGGATGAGTAGATCCGGAGATAACCTGTTGCCTGTTATTTATTAATAACAACAATACAAAGATACAAAACGAACAAAATGTTGTTCACATGTCTTTGTCAAGGTGTCAAGAATGGACGATAAAAATTCTGATTTTTTTTCATCATTCAGAGTTGAGTTATTAACAGTCGAAGTTGTATATTCTGTAAAGAGCTCCTAAAAACGGTACTTTTTTGAACATTCTATGCCATAACTTGACAACGATTGTTGGAAAAAAAATTACACTTTTTGGAGCAACGTAGGATTAGTGAACGAAAAAAATAAGACCACTCCCATTTTTTTACGATTTTTTTCGTTCATACTGTACGTGCTCAAAGTCAGGGGTCTACACTTTTCAATCCGATAGTAGTAGGGACGATCATGGTCGATCACACATGAGTTTACCATCGATAACTTATGTAGCTCAGCGCGTTTGTAACTTATTTGTCCCTTATAAGGTGTTAACAACATTCAATTGTCCAAGTCCGGCCGGGCATAACTGGTCGAGAACCCATCAGTAACCTAAATAAGGGTCAAAATCAAGGGTCAGAAATGAAAGTAATAAATAAATATCAGAAATAAGGGTCACGAGAGTCAAAAAAAAATTGTCAAACGGAAAAATTGTCAAATGAGAATGCGAAGGGGGCGCCATCCGGTAGCGACACCACGAAGTATGGTTTTTGGGGTAAAGAAGGGTTTTCAAGTTAGAAATGTATGGATAAATTCAAAATAATTTTTAGTTTAAGATAATCAATTAGGGAAAGATCTCAAGAACATTGAATTATACGATTTCATTCGGGCAAAATGGTATTTTACGTAACGAGTTGGTAAATGACGTTTTTGACGCGAGTCTGAGGTCCGCTTCGCTCCGCGTCCGTGAATCTCTGCCTACGGCCGTCGTGACAAAAAATATTGTTCGTCATACGGTCAAAAAAAAATTTTCTGACGAATATGATTGCGGCCCTTGCCTTCGGCTCGTGCTGCAAACCTCATATTCGTCAGAAAAGTTTTTTTCGGCCTAATGACGAAATATACTAATTACCACGAGTTATGTAAAATTCTTTATCGCACAATGTCTGTAAATCGGCAATTTACGCCGCAAATGCCGTTTTACAGGCAGGCGTGTGACAATGGGTATTTTTTGACCTCATTCGATTTCTTAGGGGTAAAATGGGTCTTTTTTGTACTGCTACGATTTCATGGGGGCAAAATGGGTTTTTCGTGTACTCATACGATTTAATTGGGGCAAAATGGGTATTTTGTGAACTTTTTCGATTTGATTGGGGCAAAGGGGTTTTTCGTGAACTCATACGATTTCATCGGGGCAAAATGGGTATTCTGTGAACTATTACGATTTCATAGGGGCAAAATGGGTGTTTCGTGAACTCATTAAATTTGATTGCGGCAATGTGGGTATTCTGTGAACTTTTACAATTTCATTGGGGCAAACTGGGTATTCTTTGAACTTTTACGATTTCATTGGGGCGAAATGGATATTCTGTGAACTTTTACGATTTCATTGGGGTAAAATGGGTATTCTGTGAACTTTTACGATTTAATTGCGGCAAAGTGGGTATTCTGTGATCTTTTACGATTTCATTGTGGCAAAATGGGTTTTTCATAAACTCATACGATTTCATTGGGGCAAAATGGGTATTGTGTGAACTATTAGGAAACCCATTTTGCCCCAATGAAATCGTAAAAGTTCACAGAATACCCATTTTGTCCCATGAAATCGAATGAGGTCAGTAAATACCCATTTTGCCAGAATGAAATTGAAAAAGTTCCCAGAATACCCATTTTGCCCCAATCAAATTTTATGAGTTCACGAAACACCCATTTTGCCCCTATGAAATCGTAATAGTTCACAGAAAACCCATTTTGCCCCAATGAAATCGTATGAGTTCACGAAAAACCCATTTTGCCCCTGTGAAATCGTGAAAGTTGACAGACCACCCATTTTGCCACGCTCAAATCGTATGAGTTCACGAAACACCCATTTTGCCCCAAATTTTTCATGAAATATCGCTATTACTTAGATCTATGTGGACAATTGATTTTCTTTACTGAGAAATTTAGTCTTATAGTTTTCTTCACCATTACCGATTATTTTTCCATAATTTCCAAAAATCCAATCATTCTCACTTGTTCTCTCCATGCAGCTGAGGAAACAACAGACAGCTATTTGTTATTAGTATGGATGTAAAATATTTACTCACATCGCATCAGACTAAAATAAATATTTTGCCTGCATTTGCTCGACAAGTGAATTGCACAATAATTATTCTCACAACATGACGGTTTTTTCTATCGCATCGTATAAAAGAATGAAATCCCCAGCTTTTTGCATGAATCCGATTTTGTGATTTAGTAAACTCACATCATGCGTGCTCTTATCTTCATCACCATTTTCCTTGTGGCCACATACACTGCCTGTGAGTATTCCGTGACATTTTTCTAATTCTTAATATTGGAATGTCTGTTGATCATCTCACATTCATGAAAAATATCGTCTCAATCATTCCCATAGATGCGCAACCTGACAATGGGGTTTCTGACCAGTCAGTGAGGCGTTGCCCTCTGAATGCCCGGTTCCGGCGATGTGTTCCTCCCTGTCCCCCGACTTGTAGGACCCCCAGCCCCGTCTGCAGAGGCGCGGTAAGAATCATCTCTAGTTTATTCATCTCTCATTATATATACTGATAGAAAATATGAAGGATTTAGTTGTTAACGAGGCTTCTTAACTATTAATCCAAAACAATTATTCATTCGAATCAAAAAAAATTTTTGTTTGAAATTTTTTTCTTGTTTCGAGAATGTGATTTTTTAAATAAGCTCATTTACTTGTTTCAAAAGAAAGGATTTAATTCTATCAAATAAACCATTTATTCATTTCAAATAAAGAGTGTTTTCATTTTAAGAACCATATTGGCATTCTCCCCTAATAATTATTGCGTTTTTCTCTTTCAATTGTTTTTTATATTACTTCACTTCCGGAGTGCTAATAAATTATTAGTATCAAATAAATTTTTATTAAGTTCGAAGGAAACTCCCATTCAATTCAAATAAACACATTTTTACTATTAATGGGGGATTTATTTTGATGAAATAAAGATTTATTAATAATTAAAAACCATTGATGTAGTAAAGACAGATCCTCAAATAAGAAAATAATTTCAATTTGCATAGAAATTTTATTTCGTATTATTTAAATAAATTTCATTTGATTCAAATAAATCATTTTCTGGGGGTAATACACCGACTCTCAATTTTTACTATGTTCATCGGTAAATTTTCGACTGTAACAGATATGTCCTGCATTTGATTTTCTCATATTAACAATTACTATTCCCACATAAAATGATAATTTTATATTTTTCCGTGTTTACTGATTTCAAATTTTTCAAAAAAGGATAAACTAATAGAATGAATATTCAATAGAAATAACAATCGTTTCTGAATTTTTCTATGCAAGTTATTAACTTCAAACCCTTCCCAAGTTTTCCATTTTTTTATTTTCATTTCATTTTTCTTCATCTTTCATGAAATAATGACTTCTATGATTTCTTAGTAGAGGGAATTCCTTTCCATCAATAACAACGGAAGGATTCTTTTGATTTGACAATAAAATATTTTCTTTCAGCCCTGCGTTAATGCATGCTACTGCAATCCCGGTTACATACGACGAAGCACGGATGGTCCTTGCGTAAGACCGTATACATGCCCTCGTTAATTGAAGACTGCGATTCTCTCAAGAGACCGAATCGATTTTCTATGGCAACCGACCCGGAAGAAGAAATTATAAGACATCCTCTGAATATCACTTTCCCTCTAGTTTCTTTCTACTTCTATGATAATCTATGATGAGATTGAATGTAATAAAATAATTGGAAGCAAGATTCCTCAACGTATTTATTGTGTGGTCAGAGGGGGGGGGGGGGGG